TTATTTAGTTACAAATCGCAAATTACAACTGACGGATCAAATCCTATGAAACTGCAAGATAATATTAGAACTACCGCCGTTGATGTAGTCAGATTGGTTACACAAAAGCTGATCTAAAAAGTTTTGTTATAATATTATTATTGATCTTTATAATATTGTCAGCATATATGTATTATTATATTTGTGCATTTAATAAGTACATTTTTACACATTATTTATATTTGTTTTACATCTTTCATACACATGCATACGCATGTATACGCACACGTATACACACACACACACAGAGAGAGAGAGAGAGAGAGAGAGAGAGAGAGAGAGAGAATGAATGAGTGAGTGAGAGAGGACGAGGGAAAGAGCAAGAGAGAGCAGAAAAGTATGTATGTCTAAATTCATTAATTATGTAAGCGTCGAATTAGATTAGCAACAGCTTTAAGAATAAATATTATAATAGTATATATGATGAGATGTAGACAATTTTTAATATTTTGAAAGTAACAGTTTAAATGTTCTTTTCTCATAATTGGACAGTATAGGGGTGAAAATCCTAGAAAGAAGTTTGTTTAATTGTAATATTTCTAACGCTGTGTTTTTAGTTAGTATTTTCGAAAATTTTTTTAGATGTGCTGCGAAACTTTATGTAGAATTTATCAATCTGTTTTAAATTGATATATAAAATCAAGTTTGAAAATGTATACAGAGTATAAATATATATAAGTATATCACACAAGTCTTGTAATTATTGTTCAATGTTTTAATAATACTTTCTTCTTCAGGGCTTTATTTAGAAAATAATGTGAAAATGATAAATATGTGATTAACAAATGTTAAATTATACTTGCAACCGCACATTAAAATTATAAACATAATTTATACAGGATGGATGATCTTTAAAAATATCTTGTCAATAACGCAATCCCAGCCAGTTTTTTTTATACTAAAAGGACATTTAAAAAACATTATGTGCTGATTGGAGTATTATGCGGTTAATGAATTTGAATTAATAATGAATTAAAACATAATAAATCGTTTAAATATATAAAATTAAAATAGGGTCTAAACCAGAGAGTTTAATCGCTAGAATATATATGATTTACCAAATACTAATAATTGAAAATTATATTAAAACCAATAATAATAATAATAAATAAATCACTTTGATAAATTATCAAAAGTCAATAAATAATAAATAAACAAGTATTATCACATGCCTTAGTGGTCTCAAGTAGTCTTATAGCGAATTTCGACTGGGATGCACCGATTGCACATTTCGGGTCGTGTGTTCGACTGGTCGAATGATGCAGTCCTTCGCCTGCAGTGCCGCGTGTTAGTTTGAACTCGGTATGCCGCCCAGATGCATATTGAGTACACATAAAGTGGCTCTCACAAATTAGTCGTGGCAATTAGCTAGTGTAATTGCACCCATTATTTGCTCTACAAATGTGCACTGGTGGCACATAACTGGTGCAGACTGGTGCAGATCAGTTGAAATCGCTATTAATAGTTTTGAAATAAAAAAGTCGTCCGACTCGGAGAATCAGAAAGTTTTAGGTTTGAACTTTGAAATAATATTTTTTGCAATTAATTCTTTGTACTGTTTTAATAATGTTGCTTATTGGCAAAATTATTAAATTGATTAATTTAATTTATGATATTAGTACAGTTTCAGTTTTATGATTGCGTTGCAAGTCATCGGCTGTACGCGGATGTGAGTCACGTTGGCTGCAGCATATTTCCTCCACATACAATATATAAGATAAATGTTTATGTGCTGCTCGGATAATACATAATATAATAGTATAACAATAAAAAGAGAGTAAAAACAAGAAAAAATGTTTTTTTAAATACACAACCATAATACAATATAATTAATAGGAAAAGATTTTCAATTAATGCAAGCATAAATATATAGAAATGGGTTAAACCGCAAAATTCTTAATTTATACTTAATTGTATTTTATTTGGTATAAAATATGTATTATACATTTTATTATTCGAGATGTTTTACATTGAAATTAGAACATAATAGCATGTGTACTGTGCACACTAGTGCGTTCAATTAAATTTGCTAATAATTTTTGTTCTAGACGGAAAGTCTTTACATGTTATACGGAAAACCACAAAGAGAAATAATTCTTTTTCATAAACATTAGTTACTAATACTGTATATGTATATCATGGATGTATACTGAGAAATATATATCACGGAAAAGTATAAGAATGTGATATATATATTATGAAAAAAATATCACGTTTTTCAATATTCGATTAAAAAAATCATCATATAGGAAAATATTCTGAAAAAGCTATATTTTATTTTGTAAAAAGCATATTTATTCATATAGTCTTGTATAGAAATCAGTTTAAATAGAATTTCCAAATGTCATATCAATCTTATAACCGTATTTTAAGTCTTTATTTAAGGTGGCCATGGAATATTATTGGAGGCCATAAAGTTTCTAGAATAAATTTAAGAAATCTTTAAATTTTGTACTTGTTATTAGATCTGTTATGGACATCTTTCTTAATTTTTGCATAATTGGCAATAAATATTTTATCGAGAGAATCTGTTAACATTATTTAACAAGAAAAGTCGACGATATTTCACGAATTAGATAAGTTTATGTCGACTATATAGAATATTTAAAATAAAGAGATGTTTGTTAAAAGTGATGCTTTGTATTTATTATGATATCCGAATTATGAAGTACGTTAAGTCACGAAACAAAAACGTATATATAATTTGGCGGGAGCCGCTATCGTATCTCCAGAGCTGCGTTCCAAAATTTATTCGGGTAATCAAAACTTTATAGTTAACGTTACGTAAATTATAGAGTTTTAATTATCCAGGTATGTTTTGGAACGTAGCCCTGACGGATCACATCGTCAGTTCGTGATACGACCTTCCGAAAGAGTCGGATCTCTATCATCGAAAGTATTTTTCAGCTGTAAAGCATTAATATCTCGTATTTCGCGATAATTGTTAACATAATATAGATTGTTATACAAAATTATATTTTAATTACAATTTCAATACGCGCTAGGTAAGTTTATATATAAAGACATAATATTTCTATATGCAAATATCTGTTTGAAAAATTAATAAACTGTGGAACAACTATCCGCGCTTATCCTTATTCCCGTTACTTGTTCAATCCACTGAGATCTACTACGAAAACGTCGGAATGATACCGAATTATTTTTTTTATATTCCCGGAGTAGTGTTCAGGCGAGTTTAATTAATTAAACATGATCAGATTATACGATACAAATATGAGGATCGAAGGATCCTAGGATAGATCAACCCAGAGATCTGAGGGTTCAAAAACTTAAAAATCTAGGGACGAAGAGTTGGGATTTAACAACGAGAGTCCGAGGAAAGAAGCGGACTCAAGGATCCAAGAGAATCCGAGAATGTAAATATCAAAGAAACGACATATTTTTTGTTCAATATTTTTACTTCATAGATGCGGTAAAACATTCGAAGTCGACTCAAGAGATGTTAAGAAATGGCTTCGATAAGAAACTCCGACCTGTAATTTAACTTCACAACAATGTAGTTTATTCAGATCGATTACTATATCAATCATTATAACTGATAGCAAGATCACTTAAATGAATCACCACTGCGTCAGAATATATACAGATTTGTATCTATAAATTTAATATTACAAATATAACAGGGATAAAACATTTATCAGTCCAAGATAATAAATATGTTTAAAAATTGCAGTAAGTCACAATAATTATAATTTTTTCCTATTTGTATCGAACGAACTTTCCGTGCACGTAAAGTGCACGAAAGCTGCTCGAAAAATTAATATGCACGAGACACTTATTAATAGTCACTGAATATACATACACACATATACATATGTGCATAGTCTCAATTATTCAGATGCCCACTTCTTCAAGATATTGGAGGCTGCTTTCAAAGTTTTGTCTTTCTGTTAAAACACAATAATCGATATTCAACCATTGTCCAAAATTTGTCGTCGTAATCGAGGTCATTGCACTTATACACTGTTAAATCTATAGTGTCAAATTTAACCTTAGTTAAATCGCCACTGCTCCTACTTAATAAATAGTTATTTTTAACTAAACCAGTGGGGTTA